AAATATATGAAAATATGCAGACGTCTCAGTACTAACCACTTTGCTTCCATACGATATAACGATACGGTCAGAACAGCAAACAAAAATAGGTAAAATCAAGAATAATTTAATAAATGTATGATGAAGTTAAAAGCTGAGATAATAAATAGAGAAATTAACATTATTTAATAATCTAGAAAGGATAATTATCTGATCACACAAACATCTAATTCGCATTTTTTTTTTTATCATGTGTCAATAGACAAAAGCTTATAGGTAAAAATCTAAAAATCACAAGACGAAGTCACAAGATTATAATAACCAATCAAATAAAAAGAGACACACCATTTCAGATGCCTATAAACCATACTCTACGTTGTACATTGTACAAACTCCGTTCCTGGTATAAGTTGCTGAGCAAGACTATCTAAGTCAGCTAGTAAGTTTCTAAGCATCTCATTTCTTTTATTTATTAATATCATTATTATTACAACATGTATCACATAATGAAAGTTATAAATTGAATTGAATATAATTTTATATAATAATAAATTATAAGTTGCTAGCATAATAGTATGTATCAAGCATTAAATATCAAATTATGAATTATTAATATAATTAATAAGTAATTCAATGCTTTTACTATGAAGATTTGATATATGATCTGCACTATATCCTTTAACTCATTTAATTTTGTCTACACCTATTTCTTTGAACAATTTATAGATTTTTCGTGCCTTGTAGGTTTTTTGACGCAGGTTGTTTCTCATATATTTTACAGAAATATAAGGTTTTATTTCATCATACACTTTGGTGCGTGCAGTTTTATCTTTAATTCCATCATTAACCAACTTACTCACATAATTTTCAAATTGTTCAGCATAATTATACCAATTACGAATTGTCATTTGAATTATTTTTTTTTCTTCAATTCCTTGAATGCAAGCATCTTGGTATAATTGAGCCAGATTTTCACCTACTGATAATGAAGTTTTTTTACCTTTTTTATTGATTTTATTAATTTCTGTAATTGTTTCATCAGGCGTATTCGTAGTCAACTCTAATAGAAGTCCTTCAATTGATTCTTGTTCTTTTATTTCTTTAGATGTTTTTTTATAATAAGGAACTCGAAATGATGTTGGAGAAAGCTTTAAAGATAATTTTGTTGGTTCTTTTTTCAAGAATAGAATTATCAATTAGTTTATAATATTTTTTTCTCTGTATTAGTATGTAAAAATTCGAAATTCTATAGATTTTAAGAATTTTATCAATTACGAATATAAATATAATAAATATAACTGATTAAATTATAAAGCAATAGACAATTTAAAATCTTTAATTTTAAAAAAATGTAAATATAATCAATTAAAATATATCGTAATAAGATCTTAGAAATTTTTTATGATTATTATTATAAAATTATATAGTTATATCTTGCAAAGCATTATAAAAATTATTTTTTCTTACCTGAAAAGTTATATTTACAGAACTTGAATTCTTATTATATTGATTTTTTAAATTTTTTGGTTTTTCATAAAAGTTTTTATAAATTTTTTTTTGTAATTCTTTCTTAGATTTTTGTAATTCTTTTTGTAATTTTTTTTCTGAATCTTTATTTGATTTTTTTTCTAATTCTTGTAATTCTTCAGATTCTTTTTGTGATTCTTCTTCTGATTCGTTTTGTGATTCTTCTTCTGATTCTTTTTGTGATTCTTCTTCTGTTTCTTCTTGTGATTCTTCCTCTAATTCTTTTTCTGATTCCTCTTCTAATTGGTTTTCATCTGATTTTTGTAATTCTTCTTTTTCTGATTCTTGTGATTTCTCTGATTGTTTTTCTGATTCTTCTTCTGATTGTTTTTCTGATTCTTCCTCTGATTGTTTTTCTGATTCTTCTTCTGATTCTTTTTCTGATTCTTCTTCATATTCTTTTTCTGATTCTTCATCTAATTCTTCTGATAATTCTTGTAACTCTTCTGGTAACTTTTCTTTTAACCCTTCTTGTAACATTTCTTGAAACTCTTCTAATGATGTTTCTTGTAATTCTTGTGATTTTTTTTGTGATGTTTTAGAAAAATCATTATTTTTTTTATGTTTTTGAGTAATGTTTAGAAATGATGATGGAGTATTCGCTATTAAACTAGATTGTTTTAAATTTTTTGATTTATTTTTTTTAATTTTTTGAAATTTTTTATTTTTGCAAGGACAAATATTATTATTAATACATTTATAATGAAAAAAATGTTTGCAATCTAAAATTATAACAGAATGAGAGAGATCTGAAGAAATTTCTGTTTTACAAAGACTACAGATATCACTATCTTAATATTCTGTAGGAATTCGGTCAGGATCATTAGAAAAATAAATTTTGATTAAAAATTTTTTTAAGGATTCCATTGTGAATAGAATAAAAATAGACTACATAGCAATATTTATATAATCAATTCGAATCAGCTTATAAAAAAAATATTTATTATTACTATTATAAGTTTTCAAAAAAACTCAATAATGAAATACTATTTAATATTAATTCTATTATTATTAAAGTATTATTATTAGTTCCCAAAATCTCATTAATAAAATACTATTTAATATTAACTTTCTTACTATTTATATATATAAACTGTGTTATTCTTTAATACGTATACTTACAACAATATCAGAAATATAGTGTAACAAAGTGTATGATTTTCATGACACAAGATCTACATTCTATTAGCTGATTATAATTGAAATCACGATGATATCTAAATGTAATTATTAGAATAAATTTCAAGTTTGGATCCAGCATACTTAATTAATAGATAAGATACTACTATGGCATCAAAAATATAAAAATATGCTAATACGTAATTGTAAATTACTGGTCATTCGTAATTGTAAATTACTGGTCATTCGTTACCATCAAACAAAAAGCACAATCAGATTTTTAAGTTGATAGATATAGCATTTGAGGGACGAAAAGGGAAAACCTGTAAATCATTTCATTCATTGAGTGAGATGATTTACAGGTTTTCACTTTTCGTCACTTATTTAATAAAGATTAAATGATTTATACCAACCAGTAATGGATCTTCTATCTCAGATAATCTTTTATATCATGATTTTATGAATGTCATAAAACACAAAATTAAAGATTAATTAATACTACAATTTTGGTTAATATAGCAGAAATTAATACATATTATGATTAATTAAGATTTAGTATAACCTTTAATTAACTTCTATATTTAGCAGTTATAAGAGATCATTATCCCCAAAGCAAGTTTCAATCCATGTATAGTAATATATAATAAGCAGCTCTTATCACTATGCATACAATAATATTGATAAAACAAGAATCTGAATAATACTCATAGAGACGGAATTAGATATTTTTTTGGCCTATTAAGTATTTTTTTTGCTAAAATACATCTAAATTCTGGTTAAAATTAAAATTTAATTATTATTTTGACCAGAATTTAGAAAATTTTGGGTCAAAAAAACATGTTCAGTTTAATAATACTACTTTTTAGAATTATTTAAATTTTTAGTAAAACTATAGTAAAATTCTAAACATTACATTCTAGCAAAAATTGTTCCTTGAACAATGTTATATATAAATGCTACGTGTTTTATGTGTATTACGGCACGTCCATAATCTGTGACAGGTAAGCCACAGATTTTAATCACCGCCTTAAATCATGATGAATAGCTATCGCTATTGTAGTTAGTAATTTTAGTAATTTGAAAGACTTATCATTACAAAATTAAAGTTGAATATATAAAAACAATTTGATCGTATTTATTTTTTTTGCCATTTTATAAATTAAATATTTTTTTTATCTAACATAATTAAAGTGTGCAAATTAAAAGTTTAAATAACATATTGACTTCTACTAAGACTTACTATAAAATAGAATCAATTTTTTAATAAAGCGCAGATTATACAAATTTTGATATATTTAAAAAAAAAACCTACAAAACAGAATTAAGGAAATGGATGAGAACGATATTTCTGGCATCACTTCATTTTTATTTATTAATTTAAACTGCCAAAATATTAGGCCAACATTACGGATCGTGTCAGATAAATTCAAAGATCAAGTGTAATGTAATAAAAATAAAATCTCTCGAATCTTTGTCTATGATTTTAGTCGTGAATGTTCAATCAAAAGTGCTTCGAAAATATGAGTTCACGAATAAATGATATGGAAAAAAGAAGTATTCAGCTCTTTGAGTCATCTTCATTCGAAAGAGGTAGGATTAAGTAAAAACTATCTTTTAAGAAAGAATGTGTTGAATAATAGCATGGTTAAAGAAATGACATATTGTTTGCTTTGCTTAAAGTAATTAATTTTAAAAAATTTTTATTTTTATATAAATATTTGTTTAGTTAATATTAAAAGCAACTTTTGAATGTGCGTATAAGTTTTTTTTTTTTTAATAGTTTATACTTGATTGAAATTAGTGGCTTAACCTGTGACATAAAATTTTAGTAACCGAATTAATCATATAATAATTCAGTTGTGCAGGCTAAAATTAAATATTAATTAATTAATTCAAGTTATTTAGATAGTAATAGATATAATCTTATTGATAGACCTTACACAGATTATCTGAGTAATTCTTGCATAGATTAATTTCTAACTAGAGTTAAATTGAACTTTTTGTGATGCATTATTTATAGACTAGTATAATAGGAGGAACTGTCAATGTTACATGACTGATCCTTCACCCAATGTAAAACATATAAAAAAATTATTTCACAATACCAGATCATTCCACTAGTACATGTTATAAAAATGGCATGGGATTATAATCATAATATGTACTAGCGGAATGATTTAATATTGTAAAATTATATGTTGCACACCAGGTTAAGGATCAGTCATGTAACATTGATGGTTCCTCCTGTTGACTAGTACGTATCGCATAAATATGTAATATATTATAGTAAAATAATAATAAAATAAAAATTTGAATATATAAAAGAATATAAAAATGTAAGTAATTTTAAATTGCCATAAATGTAGTATTAGATAACTTTGGTTGTCTTATAATAATATGTATTATCAAACTTTAATATCGAATATAAGAATTTTTAAAAATGTCTGATGAAATTACTTTATGTACTTGTCCTCGATGTCGTCAGAAAAATCCTCTTGGTGTATCTATAACCAAAAAGGTAGCCTTGAGCCATCAACGAGCATTTTTATGGGCACAGCAACTTGAAGAACAAATTGATGATAGTTATATCAATTTTAATACACGTCATTTAAAAAAGAAAAAAAATGATGAATTAAATTATAAATTAAACTGTGATTTAAGTATAACAAATATTGAAGCAAACAAATTCGATGAAGAAAATTATAATTTAAATATAACGAATCTTAAACCAACCAATTTTAATGAAGAAAATTACAATTATCAATATGAGTAATTATGTTTTGTATATATAATCAATATATTGACTATTTTAACTATACTAACCAAATATTTTATTTAAGAGAATACAATGATTTCATAGAGGAAGCACAACAATTAAGTTCAAATTTAAGCCAAAATTCATCAATTTATACTGATACTGATAATAATAGTTCAGAAGCTTCATTTAATAGTCAAAATGATATAGAAGATTTGTATCAAGATTTCGTAACAGAAGAATTTACAAATGATATGCTTTCAAAAGATAATGAAGGTTGGTTAGATTATTTGTATGATGCAGGTAAAAGCTTGTAAATAAATTTCAAATATTCATTATGCTGAACTTAATTTTTTGACGAATTATAATACTATTATAATATGCTTTTACAAATTACTGATCTATTATGCAAAAATTTTTAAATTCTAATTTTTTTTTATAAACTTACTAAAATCATAATGATTACAGTAATTTGAAAAGTAAGTAAAATTATACAACTGGTATTTTAATTATTTTAATAGCAATATATAACTTTAATATAAATGTAATATATATACTTATATCACTTTTATAAAAAAACTATATTGAATATTTATATATTATATTACAAAATAACTAAAATACCGATTGTGTATATATTAAAATATATACTATTATAATTCTTTAAGGATTAAATTCAGTATAGTAAAAAATTTTTTACATTTTTTTGCTATGCAATATTTATTTATTTTAGCAATTATATTATTATTCTAATAATTATTAATTAATAATTATGATAAATACTATTTAAAATTTACTAATATTAGTAATTACTAGTAGTTGTCAAATTTTATTATTAGCAAACTTCAAAATTTAATTATCATATTAGATAATTTGTACTTACGGTGATTAGCAAATTCTATATTATATCAAAATAATTTTAGCTAATTATATATTAGGCTATACAAACTTAATAAATCAGTTTTTATAATCAAACCGGATCAAAATTTACAAAACTCTAAAAAAAATTTCAAATATACTTACTATTTGGGTAAGTTTTTTAAAAAAAATCTATATATTTTTTATATATAAATTTTTTGAAAATAAAATTAAAAACTGGGTTGCCTGATCACTTTCGAAAATTTCATATTAAGTTTGTATTACCTTATTAGTTTTATAGTTTTTTAATTTTTGGTATAATGTATAGAAATTGCTAGTCATAATAATTTGAAAAGCACAATAATAAAATAATTATTAGAAAATAATATATATTCTTTTTTTAAAAAATTTATTATAAAGTTCCGAAAATAAGCAACTCTAAGTTACTTATTTTAGCTAAATTTTTTAAAGTTGCTTAAATTTAGTAACTTTAAAAATATTTATTCTATTGGCCTATCTTAATAAAATTTACTCTAAATTTTATTATATTTAAGAGGTTATTTATTTTATTTTTCTAGTATTTTATTTTTTAAATATCGAATATTGCTTATTTTAGAGTTGTTTAAATTCAGAACTTTATAATATTTACTTTTAATATATTTATTAATAAAATAATTTATTTTTTAGATCTATATAATTTAGAACCTAATATGATTAAAGCCCTTCAATTTCTTTATTTAAAAGTTCAAAACACTTCAGTTTCAGATGAAATTTATACTAAAGTTTTAAAAATTTTCAATTGTTCGGATATTAGTCTACATTTAGCTAAAAAAAAATTATTAAGTTTAGTTAACTTAAAATATGATAGCATTGATATTTGTATTAATTCTTGTCTTGCCTTTGTTGATAATATGATTGATAAAACTACATGTGTAATTTGTGGAGAGAATCGATATAATAATTTAGGAAAACCAAGAAAATCTGCATTTTATTTTCCTTTAATTCCTCGGCTTAAGATGCAATATGCAGATCCAATTCGGGCAAGAGAACTTAAATATCGTGCCAATTATATTTCAAATTCACAAAAAATTAATGATATTTATGATGGAAAATTATATAAAGAATTAATAGAAGAAGGTTTATTGTCCGATGAAAGAGATATAATATTAACAGCTTCTTGTGATGGATTTCAATTATTTAAACAAAGAAGAGAAGATTGTTGGATTTTAATGATGATAAATAACAATCTAGCACCAGAAATACGTGTAAAAAAGAACAATTTATTAGTTACAGCAATAATTCCAGGGCCAAATCAGCCTAAAGATTTTAATAGTTTTTTACGTCCTGTAATTAATGAATTAAAATTATTAGAAGGTAATTATATTATTTAACTTAAAGTAGTTTTATTTAATACATTATAAATATTTATAGTTATTTATTATTTTAGAAGGTATTTTATGTTTTGATGGTGATAGTAAAGAGGAATTTAAATTAAAATCACATGTAATTTTTTGGTGTGGTGATATACCAGCTATAACAAAACTTATGTGTATTTCTGGACATAATTCTTATATGGGATGTCGAATGTGTGATTTGAAAGGTATACGAGATTTGACAAATAATTATATTTATTATCCCTTAAAACCTCCTCGTGGTTATTACAATTTCTCATCATATGATGCACAAGACCTTCCACTTCGCAGTCATAATAAATATAATGAATTAAGTCAAAAATGGTTAGACTTATCAACTGATATAGCTAAAAAAAAATTTATGCAAGTAACAGGTATTTTTAATAGTTCTAATTTATTTCACTAAAAATTACTTTATTAATAGTATAGTTTACTAACAATTATTTTACTAATAATTTCATTTTACTGACAATACAATTTACTGGCAGTATATTACTAATAAGTTTTTTTTATAAATTACATTATTGTTAACTCTAATTCTAACTTGACTTTAATAGCAATAATCAAAAGTTTTTTGTTAATAAAATAAACTTGTTAGTAAATTTATTGCCAGTAAATTGATTATCAATAAATTGATTATTAGTAAATTAGCTATTAGTAAGATAATTCTTATAAACATTTTTTTAATTATAGTTATTTTAATAAATGTTTATATTAACTAATAATTATTTATATTAACTTTATTAGGAATTTGTGAAAGAAGTATTTTATTTGAATTAAAAGCAACAAAATTTCCACGTTCATTTCCTATTGATATCATGCATCTTTTATTTGAAGGTGTAACACCATGGATGTTTAAACATTGGAGTGGAAAATTTTTTAAAGATGAAACTTTAAATAATGCAAATTCTGAATATCATATAATTGCCAAATCAACATGGAATCAAATTGGTCAAATTTTGAAAAAAAATAGTAAAGAAAAAAGAATGCCATCAGAATTTGGAAGATTACCAAATGATATTATACGACATTTTAATGGATTTAAAGCAGAAGAATGGTCAAATTGGACATTATTATATTCTTTGCCATTATTAAAAACTTATTTAAAAACATCACAGAAAGTATAATTTTTTTATTTATAATTTAATAAATTTATTATTTTAATCTAAATTAATTATTATTATAATAGTTTACTTAGAGGTTGGGCAGCATATGTTCTTGCAGTAAAGCTTTGTGTTCAACGTGTTATTACTATACAAGATCTGAATTGTATTGAAGAATATTTTATTGAATTTTGGAATCATTATGAAAAGTATATATTTTAAAGTTTATAATAAATATATATAATTATATTAAGTTTTTATTTTTATTTTTAGATATTATGGAAAATATGAAGAAAACCGATTATCTGCATTTAAAATTGTATTTCATTATTTGCTTCATATTAAAGATTCAATTAGTGATTGTGGTCCATGTTGGACATTTTGGCAATTTCCTATGAAAAGACTATGTGGAATATTACAAACATTAGTTCGATCTCGTGTTTTTTCTTATAAAAATCTTGCTAATAATATTTTAATATTAGAACAGTTTAATCATTTACACTTTATATCATCAATAACAGATCAACTTTTTTCACAAGAAATAATACCAATTTATGCAGATAATCAAGTTTTTGCATTGTCTGATAGTTCTGAAGAATTTTGGTTTCCAAGTCAACAATATAAACTTGTTGATATTTCAGGAAAAGATTGACCATTAACTAATTTGCGTAATTTTTATATATCAAATATAAATGGTTCTTTAAAAGAGGTAATAAAAAATTATATTTTAAATAATTATAACTAGTAATATTTATATATATATTACAAAAAAAATCAAAAATCAGAAATTATATAAAGCTTTTAAACAAATCTAACCAGTTAGCTTTTTTTATTAAAATTTGACTTGGTTAGATTATAAAAACTGATTAATTAATTTTATATAACTTAGTTAAAAAATTAAACTAATTTATTATAACTAATTTTTGATTTTAGATAATTGTTAAAATTATATAGTAGTTTTAAAAGCATAATAGTTATTTGTACTGATATTATTTTAAATTTCTTATTTTAGTTAAAGAATATTGGAATAAGATTTGCAAGATTAAGAACTTCTGATGGATATATGATTGGTTCTGTTTTAACTAAAACTAATGAAAATCGTCGTGATGATTCATGTATTAAAGTAAGAAAAAATAATAATATATTTATTACACTTTTTAGATTACTATAATAGCAATTTCTATATATTAGAAATTTAAAATCTTTTTATTAGATTTCTGATTTTAGTATAATATATAGAATTTGTTAATTATAGTAATTTAAAAAATATAGTAATATATATTTATATATTTATTTTATTTTTACTAAAATTTATTTGTATATACAAAAAATCTTATATTTTTAGTATGAAGTTTATGTTAATCAATTTAGTAGTAAACCTGTTTTAGAAGTCCATTATGGCAGAGTTTTGTTTTATTTTGTTCATGAATATTCTGAGCAAAAGTATATGCTTGCTTATATAGAACATGCATATGATGTTAAGCAAAATTTATATGATTTAAAAACATTTTCAAAATTTGGAGTACATGAATGGATTTCAGCATCTAGTATAAAAAAATGTGTAGGATTCTTTAAAATAGATAATTTATATTTTATTTTAGAAAAACCTGATGAATTTCCAAAAGATTATTAAATATAAAATATATAATAATTTGTAATTAGAACTAAATATTAATTTGAATTAAAAAATTAATATATTATAAATATATTTAGTATTTATATTTGCTAACAAAAATTTAGTATTATATATATATTTTTATAACTTAACTATTGTTATATTACAGAAATTGTAAACTCTAAAACTCCCTATTCATAGGGTAGATAAACGTCTCTCATGTAACGTCAGACAAATTAGTACTTAAAAGAGGTGCTAGATTTGGGTAAGTACTAAGGGTAAGTATTTCTTTATTAGATATACTGTGATACCTCTTTTTATTACATAAT